AAATGAAAACAAATTTTTAACTAACAGGTGAATACTATTAGGAATTTGGCATAAAGGAAAACTACATGAAATAAGCTATGTAAAAACTTGCAGAGCAAGTAATTTGAACCATAAGAAAAGGGGATTTCATTTTGACAATAAAACCTAACAGTATCTGTTAATCTATAGACACCTGAAATAAATCCTCAAATCTATTCCCCAAAACACCGGATCAACAAATAATACGACCATCTATAGTGACAAAAAAATTAAAACATACATCTTAATTTATCCACCAGTTTCCCTGCACAGATGGTTGCCAATGCAATTTTCACAGAAAATACTGTAAGTCGACCAGACTGCAATCTAAATAAAGGTTTGCTATGGAGTTAATATAATTACTACCTTTGCAAGCTTCAGTTTGTGAGCTTTCCAGCTCGGTTCCACTTTCCCATCTTTCATGCGTGAAAAACAACAAAAATTAAAATTACTAATAAAGTTGCAAAAAAACGAACCTGTCGTACGCACCAACCAAAAAACTAAGGAGAAGAGAAATTGATTTATCAGTATCAATATGTTGCGCATTTGGTAGTCGCTTGTTTAGATTATGAAATATGGTAGTTAGTAGCAACTCCAATCGAGAAATTTTCACCTAAAATGTCAAGTCCTAGCTTTTAAAACACCTATAAGCATAACAAATACAAAAATTACAGTAAAAGCTAGAAAAACACAAAATAAATTCCGCAAAAACCTGAGTATCTACAGGAACTCCATTCAGTGCATTTTCCCGAAATGACTCAATTATGTTCCATATATCGACCATATGCACTGAAAAGTGAAAAAATGTTTACAGTGCATGTCAACCAAACAAAATCAAATTTTTTACAATTTTACTTTTTTCCAACTGAAACGACATCTTTTCAAACAATTACCAAGTCCCAATATTACTCAAAAGCTTTTCGGGGAAAATTTACTTTGAACTGTCACACGATCTAAAATTTGTAATATTAAACTTATGCAACAGCAGACCATTTGTACGCTTCTGAATAAATCTTAATTTGCAAGCAGCTCGATATGTTGCAAATCGTATAGAGTCAAAGTCTTGTAATCCTGAAACTTACTTCAGAGGTGAAACTATTGTAACTTAGCTGAATACTAATGAAGATAACCCAATCAAACATACTCACAGATTTGCCAAAATGTTATGCATGTAATCTATTTAGAAGTTAAGGAAAACAAAACGAACTCATTTCATCTATAAGGGTTTGAAGTTCCACGGTCATGTCGTTTGCGGTTGATGGAATGACGTCGGACCGATTCCACATCCTCCGTTATTTTAACCCTGAATTATAACATCAGGTGACATACGTAAAAAAAACTGATGGCAAAGTACAATGCGAAAAAAAGGCACACATGAAGTTTTCATCAAAAACGCTGTAAACGATTCACTAGCGCTCAATAGTTTTCCTATAATTTCTGCAATTTCCGCTGAACCATTCATACTACTAGATTTAATCATGTTAATACCCTACGCTTAGGAAACACAACACAGCATAACACGTCTAATTCAGAAAAAATAAAAGCATCAAAAGAAATATAACTGTAAGCTAACAAAAAGCCATAAGAAAAACCATTAGTAGAATATAATGCTAATCATAAGCTCCCGTACCATTCCGGATAGTTTGAAGTACTATTCTGAAGCTCAGGTGGAACCAGTTCGAGGTATTTTTAAAATGACTGAGTTGCCATACTTCCAAACTGGTAAACGGCTACTTCAAAACGTTTTAAACTTCACAAAGAAGTGCCAGTTTTCGGTATGAAGTGAGGTGGTTTGTAAGCTGTTTCACAAACACCAAGTAGGTCGTTTTTTGTAGGCAGAACTGTGGGATGTTCCGCTGTCCAAGCAACAATGTGAAAATTTTCCTCCATAGATCTGAGGTGGTTGAAAGCAAGCAGCCGGCAAGTCAGAAGTGCGCTTATACGCAAAAATCAAGTTTTTTGATATGCCCCACAGTAGTGTCAACGGCGATCCATAGGAGTATTTTGAAATTTTTAAGCGGTGTTATTGAAAAGTTTTCAGCGTACGACAAATTCTGTATTAATAAGTTGATATTTCATCAATCAGCTATCAGTGTCACTCACCAACGCCCGCAAGTAATTTTTTCATGTGAATAATTCACAGCTGTTCCGGTTTTTCAAACTCGTCAAATAAATTTTTTTTGATCATTCTGTATTAACGACTGAGCGTCACTATAATACTCGGAAAATCAAAAAAACTAGAAACCAAATCAAGCGAAGTGAAGTTGTTCAAAATGAATCATTCCCAATTACTTCCGTTTCAAGAATAAATTTCAATACTTTTTAAGATCAAAACGAAAACAGCAGCAGAGCTCGAACAGTAGGTTCCGATTCAATGAAGGGGAGGGGAAAAAAAAAGAAAACCTGACCACTTCCGAAAATTAGAGTTTTTGCGGTGTAAATGAGCAAGAAAAAACTACTTCTTGAAAGAAGATACATTCTGCTTTCAGCTAATGTACGCATTTAAGAATAAAGCCAAACTCCGAAAGAGAAAAATTCTCTTCCACAGCGAGACCCACACCTCCGAATATTCTCCAGCGACCAACAACAAAACAACTACAGAAAAAAAATCCTTCATTTTGCAGAACCTTAAAACAAATCTTGGCCTTATACCAACACGTTGCATACAAGACAATGGAAAAATGGGTCAAAGGCATAAGTACAAATGAGATCCAGCGCTTAATAATGGCTTTACCGAGTCATAAACGAAAATTCGAAGCAATGGACTTTGCCCCGTATCAGCAAAGTCCAGGCTGCAGAAGCAATTCCCAAATAATATTTGAAAAACAGATTAACAAATCCGTAACGCCATTACGATGCATTGAACCTTATCTCTGTTTTCTTATAGAAAATCTATATGCATTTACACAAAGCACTACATTGGAATATCCCGGAGGAACGATTCCACAAAGTGTGATGAAGATAAAGTATATTTGTAAGTGGATAAATAAAATACAAGTGAATAAATTAACAAACAAATAAATAAACAGGCAAATAAATAAATAAGTAAACAAATAAATGAATAAATA